ATAGAGTCGACACAAACGGAGATTTCTTCACAAGTGAAGATCCTTACAATTATCGATAGAAAAAATATACCAAAAACGCAAATAGGGTTTTTTTTTACTTATTCCGCCGAAAAAAAACGAACAGTGCATCACATGCTGCATTTTCAGCAACGCATTTATATTCAGCCAATCAGATTCGAGCTTTACCATTTTTGGTTTCCGTGTTTTGATGACAGTTTGGGCGGAATAAGAAGAAAAACCCAAAAATGGAGTGATTGAAAGACCTTTAGTTTTGACCTTCATTAACAAAAATTATGTTTGTCAATATTTCAAATGAGAAAAGATGGCATTTATTAAAAATCAACTTTGAGTATGGACTTAATTTATTGAGAATTTGCTTAATTTAATTGTAAAATGACGCATATTTAGAAACAATTAATTTTTTTCGGATTTTATTAACTATTTCGCCCCCTATGGTAACTTGTAAAAATTACCCCTCCCCCATCCCCCCATAAAGAAAGAATTGAACAGAACATATATAAAGAAAATTGTTACCTTGTTAACTATTCCCCCCCCCCCATCCCCACTGCAATAAGGGGGGAAATAGTTAACAAGATCAATTTTTTTTTGAAACAATTTACAAAAGCTTGCGTTTTTGTTTTAAAATAAAAACTGAGTTTTTTACCAGACTTCTCGAACCGAAACTCGGGCTTGGAAGGCTTTTGCTACAAAAAGCTTCTAAATTCCACAACTAAATCAAAACAACCAAAAAACGTTCACGAAAAAAAAAAATTCGTGTCTAAGTCAAATCGCGTAGAGCGTAGCAAAAAAATGTTAACTAACTTGTCGATATTTATACTCAAGAGTTTCATTCTCATCATTCTTTCGCCTCTTGCCCCCGGTGTGAACAAATATCATTTCATCCCCAATACTTCCCAACTCCCCTCTGACAGGCTCGAATGCGTCTTCAAGAAGAGAACTGCTGCACACAACTGCTTTGGCTGAGCTGAAAATCGAACCAGCCAAAATTCCAAAAGACTCATTTGAAAATTTCAAAAACTAGCTCTTTTTTTTAAACCAAAATCGAATAAACGGGATATATAAATTTCAAACCGTTTTTTTTGAAGCAGAACATCTAATGTGCGCCAAAACTCAACTTAAACATTGCTATCTTCCATTTTTTATTTTGGCTGACATTATTTTAGATGACATCATTTATTTTTTTGATGTTCTTGAAAATCGGTTGAATTGTATTGTACCTGATAGTGATTGAATGCACGAGGGGCGCTTGTCGCTGGTTGAAGTTGACCAGGGCGGAGATGACCCCTATTTTGGCCAATCCGACCCAATAGATCACAAGGTCAGGACTGTTCTCCAGCAAAAGAGCAACACAGTCACCTGGCAAAACAAATATATTGTATAGTTGGTGCCCAAAATATCAAACCGATTTACGCAGCTGGCGGGGCTGTAAATAATTTTGTTTTGCGCCAGTTGTAATTTCTCAAGAAAAACGTATTACAGCAAAAGTGGATTGCAGCAAAAAGATATTGCAGCGCTTAGTTACCGCGTAATAATTTACCTTTTGGAAACAAAATTTCTTGGAGCAATCGGGCTTGGGTAAGTAGATACTTCCACTATGGATAAACTTATCAATTGATGTTTCCTTGACATGATAGGCTTTTGGATTTTAACAGGTAAAAGTATTGAATAAGCCCGGTTCGAGGCCCCAGACTTATGTCCAGACTTTGAAAATCACGCAGCGTCTGGATCCAGACCCAAATAGCATAGTTGCTCCGAGTTTAAGTCTGGAAAGTCTGGACACAAGGTTGCGGGAAAGTCTTGACGTGGGTCATTAAAGTCTGGACATACCGAAAGTTGGTCGCAAAAATCTCCACAAAAAGTCGCGAAAGTCCGGACATACTTTTTTCAAGCTTTCGCGATTTTGTGTCTAGACTCTCGACTTCATGCCCAAAATTTCGCGACCAAATTTTGGCAACTCCAGATTTTTGGACCCGCGACGCGACCCTGGGGGCCTTATATCCAGACTTTCCAGACTCAAACTCTCGGCGCGATTATGCAATTTGGGTCTCGATCCAGATGCTGCGCGTATGTCTGCATGTCGGGTAGCGCCGGTCGCGTTGGGTCTCATGTCAGATAGGGCTGCTCACGCCGTCTCCATCTTGGTCTCAAATGTTGCAACGAAACTTTTTGGCCGCGAAAGTCTGGAAATGACGAAATTTGCTCGCGTTAATATGGACATACTAAATGTTGGTCGCGAATATCTGTTCACGCCGTCTCCGCCTCGGTCGTCAAATTTGCGACGGATTTTTTGTTCGCGAATGCCTTTAAAAACATATTTTGGCCGCGAAAGCCTGGTCAAGCCAAAATTTGGTCGCGAAAGCCTGGACAAGCCGAAATTTGGTCGCGAAAGTCCTTACCGAAGTCGCGGACCTCGACGCGTGAGATAGAGTAGAGTTGAGAGAAAAATTTACATAAGTGTGCAAATCCAGCAATATATACATATACCATAACATATTATATAAAAGCTGTTTCTTAGAGTCTAAATTAAAAAATTTGTATCATGAAAAGCTGTTTCTTGGAGTTTCGTCCTAATACGAGCGTTCTTTTTTTGTGGGTTTGGAAAAAGTCATTGCCCTGTAACGTTCCTTTTTTTTCAAGGTCACATGCATATAATCTAATTGTCTGGATAGCAATAAAACTTCATAAGCTCAATTCTTACAGGTTGCTCTTTTATTCCCAAATACGTTGCATGAGGAATTAAGAACTTCAACTAGGCTTTTCCAAGCATAATTAGTAACCGCGAATAAACGTCATATTTGGTCAAAAAAAACGCGTAAAGATTTTCAGTTTTGGTTCGGGCTGTTTTGAAAAATGTTATGATAAACTCTCGGACTGACGCACATACACATAAAATGCTAGTAATACAGGTTCATAAATTGTTGAGACGAAAACTGGTCGCTGAAAAAAAAAGAAAAAAAATTGGAATGCAATTTTCAGGCAGTTTTTCTAATTGATGTATTATATGAACCATAGTGTTTGATCTGAATGACTATAGCACTTTTTTTAATCCGGGTTATTCTGACTTCCAAATCACGCCTCCGTCTCTCAAAAAAGGAAACAAAACTGTAAACGCAAAGCCGTTGTTTTTATCCTTAAAATTTCAAAAACAACCTTTGGGACATATTTGCCGCACTTTTGCCGCGTATTGTATTTTTTAACCTCTTGCAAAATAAGTGGGGTCGGAAATTTCAGAGCAACATTTCTTTTTTGCACGAATACGTATAGTTCTTACAATTTTTTATAAAACGAAGAAAGCAGTGGCGGATCTAGGATTTTCTCGAATTTTGTCGACGCTTTTTTTTAGGTCGACCGATCGACCGAATTGATTTTCCGAGCTCTCCCAAAGCACTAAAATTTTGGTCAAATTTTCTGCGCCTGACCAACAAAATTGCGTTTTTTTTTGGCGCGCGCTCCCCCTTCAAAGTAAGTATATATTGGCGCCAAAGGCGCCGTTAGAAAACTTTTAGGGTCCGTCACCAAATCTCAAATAGTACAAAATAGTACCTTTGGGTCGGCAGGGGGTCAAATCCCTGAGAGCGGGGGAGCGTATGCCAACCCCCCCCCCCCCCCCCCCACCCCTTCCCCCCTAAATCCGCCCCTGATGCGAAAGATTATGTTTTTTAGGATCTGAACTTTTGTTCTTTATAATACGAAGTTTTTGCCCCCGAACTTTTGTTATCTTTGTTTTGTACAAAAATGTTACCTTTTTTCAGCCCCAGTTTCTGAAAATAAGCAGCAACTTCATTTGCCTCTTTGTTTACTTCTTCGAACGTCCATTGATGCCCCTGGAACTTGAACATTGCCCTTTTCGGGTACTTTTCGACCGTCTTTTCAAACAGAGAAACAATCGAGACATTTTCTTTCTTCATTTTCTCAGTTCGAAGTTTAATTCCGACCAACACGCGGCCAAGTTTGAGATCACGTGGTAACGTGTGCCAAATGAGCCACAGGGTTTCTTTGCTGCCCCCCAGAAGCAAAAACAAAAGGGGGAGCAGAAATAAAATAGATAAGAATATCCAGTAAACGCAACACGTCATGTCTGTGGATTCCAAAATTAAAAATCGAAAAACTCGTTGAACAAATTTATAAGAAAATGTATCGTGGAATTTATAAGAAAAAAAGAAATTTACTCTTTTTTGAAACGCTAGATTATAAAACGCTAGACAATCAGTACCAGTCTATGAGACAAAGTTATTATACAAAATGTAGATAGCAGCAGTTTGCAACTTTTTTGAAAAACGTTTTGACGGCAAAGGGTTCAAGTTTTGTTTTAAATGTTTCAAATCAGAGATAAATTCTTGGTTTATATTAAAGAAGATTCGGAGATATAATTAGGTCAAGGTTTTGAGACGTCAGTCAAAAAATATCTTTTCGGCCTTTTGTACAGAGGTTAAAGGGCATAAACAAATTTCCAAAAAAATAAGCTGTCACAATTTAGATAGCACGATGTCAAAATACTGAAAAGTCTTTTCAGTTTACGTCTTTGTAAGGACGGATTAAATTTGAGAAGCGTGATTTTTCTGCAAAAATCAAGTTGTATTTCAAACTTATTCTTTGCAGACAATTATGAAAACCACGAAATCAGTAAAATTATATGAAAACTTCAGAATTGATGAAGATTCTTGATTGATATGGGTCCAGGGTGCGTTGAACCTTTGACTGCAAACATTTCTATTTGAAAGTTGGTTCCATTTAGCAATCTGCACAGCAATGTTTGAAGTTGAAATCAAACTAATTTAGATACCAAAGAGTGAAGTTTATGTTATGAACTAATCCACGTCATCGGCAAGTAAAATTAGTAACACAGTGAAATATGGTATGAACGAACCATAAAAAACTATAGGTTATGGAGAGAGTCTGAAGCTGCTAACTTTAAAGGTTTTAACAAAATTGAGTAACATGAAAACGCGTACACTAAATTGTTTCGATGATTTAAGAATTGAACTCAATGACTGATTCTTAAAACCACATTCACTAATACAATATAATTGAACGCTCCACTATGCGTAGTAGTTTTATGAAAAACAAGATCTGAAATTTCAGAGGCAAATCGACACAATTTGTCACTTCAGGACTTCGATTGAAATTTTTCGAAACTTTTTCTAATCTTTTAAGCGCCTAAGATGCACAATGCGCTATCATTAAAAATTGTATAAAAAAGCCTAAGCTTATAAATTCATTGGTCAAAGTTGCAGAGTCAAAGCACCCGAAACAGCACTTTTTAAGCATTCTCAACACTTTTTTGTTGGACGTACAAAATGTTAGCATAAAAGTTTTACAGTGCTTCAGAACTGCTTAGAGTTGGTAAATATTAATTAATCGGGTTTTAAGACGTCGGGTGTTGAGGTATTCAGAAAGATATTGAACGTTTACGTTTTGATGAAGTTTCTTAATGGTGAGACCATGAATATTTGAAGAGAAAATTTGAATAACAAGACAGCTGGCTTTAGCTATGAGTTTTTGTATAACATTTGATTCGCATTAACCTTGTTTCTAGTAGGGACGGACCTAGGATTCTCTTTTGAACATTCTTTTTGACTTTTTTTGATCGACCAAATTGATTTTCTAAGCTCTCCTCATTATTGATAAAGTCCCTTTTTGGCTCAACTTTCTGCGTTTTTTTTCTGCGGTTCTCGACGCGAGTTCTTTCTCAAAATAGGTATTTTTTGGCGCTGAGGGCGCTTTTAATAAAATTTCAAGACCGGTCAGCAAAAACCAAATTTCTTAAAATGGTACTGACAGAAGGACTCTCTTGGTGCCTATCGGGTCAATTTTTTGCGTGTTGCGGCACCTCGTTTCAAGCGACAACTCGTAACATTTATAGAAAGCGACTACTCCCGTAGTTACCGGCATTTAGCAGCGGCAAAAACTTTTGATCAGATCAAAAAAAATTGAGTTGTAGATGTAAATTAAGAAGTGAATGTAATAAAAAAATCGAAATTGAAAGACTCTCATTTTATTTTAGAAGAAAGTTGCTTCTGTAATGACTTAGCAGCTCAAAAAATGCTAATAGCTTTTTTAAGTTTAGACTCCTATGCATATTTTTTTGTCGTTATTTAGGCCAAGTTTAACTTCCAACTTAATTTTTTTCTCAGGAATTGAAAAAATTATTGAATCTACCTGCGAGCCCTCAACTGGGATGTTGGTCTTCTGCCTTCTATTTCAAACTTTATCGAAAGGATTTCACACAATTGATGACTTCTACCGCCCCTGCGCCTAGGAAGAATTGGTCAGATCCATGTTGTTTCGAAAAATTTTACTCCAATAGAGTGCGTTTGTCTTCCTTGCAGTTTTCATGCACAAAGTAGTCATACCATTTTTGAAATCGAACTATGGAATAAAAACCAGAGTGACAAATGGTTTAAGTAGTAAACGTGTGTTTTTATCTTTTCGTTATAAGGGTACCAGCATCAAGTGAAAATAGCATCCTGTGGAATTTACGCCGCTGAGAGTTTTGAAAAACCTCAATTTGAAAAGATTTAAATCTCGTAATGATAAAAACAAATTTAATATTCGTTCATCAGTTTTTAATCCCCTGATAGCAATTAAACTTACAAGTAATTGTCATATGCTACGACTCGTCGCTTGGTGCGAAATAAGAATTTATATAATTGGTAAATGTGTTGCTTGCGTTTAACCGCCGCTTGCGTATCACACCCATTTATGTCTAGTTTTTTATTTCCGACTTTTGTAACAAAAGTAACGGAATGTTTGTGCTCGGGTTGGGTTTTGTTTTTCATCAGACATATTTCGACTTTTTAACTAGCTATTGTTGACGAAAATTTTTTATATAATTCAAAAAGTATTGTTGTAATCAACTTGAATTTGAAAAGCTACTTCACCTGTGATCATTTTTCGTAAAATTATGGGGGTTTAAATATTGCCCTTTTGGCCAACTTGGGCAAATATGTTTCGAGCTATCAACGCGCAAGTGGAGATTAAATCCGTCTTTGGAATTGTTCCAAATTAGTTGAAGGAAGCTTATATGCCATAATTAATTTGTTACCAGAGCGAAATCTATCACTTTCTACTTTATATGGCGTGTGGAGAGTTGTTTTTCATAAAAATTCTCAAACTAAAAAAAATTCATTTTTGCTTATTACATTTAGTTTTTTCATGTTATTACTGCTAGATAAACCCTAAAAGGCAGTCGGAACTTTCAGGGCTTTGCCCTGATACGAGTAGTCTTGTTTCTTTTTGTATACTTTTTCTCATGTCATAAAAAAAATCAACCAATCTGCGTTTGACTGAACCTTATCTTAGGCTTCCAGTCAAGAAGCTGTTTGCAAAATTCATTAATCAATAAAACTTCAACAGCTTAAATGTTTTAAATGTTTAAACTTTATTAAGTGTATGCACTGTGTAGATGTGAAAAACTAAAATACCGGCTCGACACGAAAGCTATACGAGAATAAATTATTCTCAATTTAATGCTCCTGAGCTATTTTTACAAACTCTACATTAGCTGAGCTGTTTAATGATACTCGTCTCATTAGACCCTACGTCACTTACTGGAATGAGAACATCCAAAATTTACTGAAACACTCAGAAGAAATGAAATTTAGTTTTGTTATTGATACTAGTTTTGCAATTTGAGGGCTGTATTTTGTGTAAAAAATGATCAAACTTGTTTAAAATAATCAAATAAATTTAAATTTGCCCATTCTGTACAATTTACAAACTCATTTCAGTTAATCTTGTTAGCTAATTGATCTTTTTGAAAAATAATCAAAGATCTGTTATTTAGCTCGATATTCTGCAAATCATACAAAAATTTAGCATCTGTGAACAGGGGTGGATCTAGGATTTTCTCGAGGGGGGGGGGGCGGATTTTCAAAAAATTGTCGAAAATTTTGACGACCTTTTTTTTTTTTTAGGTTGACCAAATTGATTTTTCGAGCTCTCCCAAAGCACGGTTTTGTCCCTATTTTGGCCAAATTTTTGCGCCGCAGGCAAAATTTTGAAAAAACAGGTGAAAAAAGGCGTTTTTAGGAACTTTTTGGAAAATTTTGACCGAAAAATTGCGCTTTTTCGGCGCGCGCTCCCCCCTCAAAATTAGTATATATTGGCGCCCAAGGCGCCTTTAGAAAATTCTTAGGGTCGCTCGGCCAAAAATGGATTTCTTAAAAAGTATCAAAGGGGGGACCCTTTGGGTCGGCAGGGGGTCGAATCCCTGAGGAGGAAGGGGGCTTTCGCCCCCCCCCCCCCTAAATCCGCCCCTGCCTGTGAACTTGATTTTAATAATGATTATAATAAATCTTCTTTAAATGCAGAGAAATTCCAAATAGCAGAAAAAATCAATAAGGAAGCCAACTTAATGAAACTTGAGTATTTTTAACGGCTAAAAATATACTTCTTTCCATTTTTGGTCATCTCTACATGTAATACATTAGAGGGAGAGTAGCCCTGATTGGTTTTGGGTTTTCACTCATTAGAGCTGTTGAGAAGAACGTCTTCCACTCGTCACAGTTTGTCCTCTGGGCTAAATTGACCTCTCCCAATATTGAGTCTCTGATAAAGGTCACTGCTGGTTTGCTCATCAGACGAAACTGAAGAATTGACTCTTCTGAAATGGATGGAGACTTAATTATAATTTCAATTACTTTATTAATTATTTGTGTATACTTATATGATATTGACAAATTAACATGATTTCTATGGTTGCAGTTTCAAAAATCACTCCTCTATAATAAAAAATTATTAATTATTTTTTGTGAAAACTAAATGTTTTTGTTGTAACTATTTTTTGTTTTGTTATAATTATAATTATTTTTTTTATTAGATAGTTTTAAATTATAATTAATTCCATAAGGTTGCAATTTTGATTGGATTTAAAAATTTGAGGCAACATTTGAATTCTATTTTATGTTCCAGATTGTCCAAGTGAACATTTACGGACACTAATTTGGCTATCAAACTTTTCAATTGAGCATTTATTTTCAAGTTTTTAAACCGCGATGGCATTCTTTTATCAATCAAAAAGAGTCTTGATTGGCTTTGGGAGAGCTCGAAAGTGAGTGTGGTTGAACAGATATAAAGTTCACATCCTACCAATCATGCCCTTGGGTAGCTTGAGAGTGAATGTCTCCTCGTAGACTGGCATGAAAGTCTCTCTTTGGACCGATGAGCGCATCTTCTCCACCAGTCTACCCATGTATCTGTGGTACAATTTCACACTTGTGTCGCCTAAAGCAGCATAATAAAAGAAAAAAAATGACTCAGGCAGAGAGCATACAAAAATTCGATTGAAAAAAAATTATAGTAGAAGTAGTACTTCCTTGGAGATCACCATTGGATGTATAGGTCAGCTTTCATGTGTCTCTGATTAAAAATGATGAGATAATATCAAAATTTTTATATGTAACAAGGAGTAAAAAAACAAGACTTTTCAAAAAAAAACTGCTTGTAACAGTGCAAATCCCCGACTGCCGTTTAAACTGTCTTGGATATTTTTTATGCAAGAAAAAGTCTTGCTTAACATTTTGAGCATTGTAAACAATTAATGGGACGAATATCAAGTAGTTACCCGTTTTCTTATTTTTTTTTTACAAATATGCTCACACACAGGGTCAAATGTAAAATGATATGTTTCTCAATTAATAAGGCGATGTTTGAACAATACACCAGCCTCAATTCAGTTTGGAATGATTTAGAGAGTTAGCTCACGCTTTCAGCTTGAGAGCGTAGAACGTAGTAGATAAATTTTTAATTGCCCAATCGCCAACAGAAAAACCCCTACAGTTTTATGGAAAACAAAAGATAAAAAGTATATTATCTTTCGGCCCAAGGTGTCAATTTCCGAGGTTTAGTTAGAACCTCTCGCACGGTCTAGAGCAAATATCTGATTTGTCAAACATCCGCGCTATCAAACAAACGAACTTACCCGGGTTGACCTCCATACACTGAAAATGCTTATCATACAATTCCATACATCAAGTGTGTGGGAAAATGCTTGTCATACAATTTTCATACAATTTCTAAAAATATAACGGGTATATAACAAGTGCGTAAATTGAACATGTTAGATTTTCAAAATAACATTACGAAGTCAAACTGTGCATTTTGGGAAATATAAGCGGATTCCGCAACAAGGGCGCTCCTTTTGTTCTTCTTTTGTTCTTTCTTTTCCTTTGATCGTTCCGACAAATTTTAACATTTGTAAAGACTTGTCTCTGGAATCCAGGAACATACAGACACAAAACTCTGCGCCTATCCAATGCACAGATTGGCCTCGTATTGAAATGCGTAATTCAAATAACCGATACCAGGTTAGCCACGTTGGTTGCCGTGCAACTGGCGCGCCACTAGTTGGCAGCGATAACCGGCTATAAGCTTTAAATGGAAGTCTACCCTCTGTTGGCAAGCACGCAACACGTTGGCACTACTGCGGCGTCAATATTAATTGAACCAATACAACATCTTTTCGGCGAACGGTAGAAACCGGATCGTTGCCCTAATTTTTGGAAAACGTCGAATAATTGCCCCATGAAAGCTGTTTTTCGAATTTTTGCTGATTCAGGTGTTTGAGATATTCAGGTGTTTTTGTTGATTCAGGTGTTTGAGATATTGATTTCTCAATCAATCGGTACCCTCGCTCTCAACGGTACCCTCGCTCGCAGTACTCTGGGTACAGTTCAAAATTATCAATGCGCGTTAATTAAAATTATTAATTAATGCGCGTTTAAATGTTATGTAAATGTTTAATTGGTCAAATGATGGAATAACCAGACAAAGTAGCACTTAAAAATTGACTTAGCTTATCCTTTTGTTAATCAAGAGAACCAGGTAGAAGAACTAGAGATACAAGAGTACAAAAACATAGGTTAATGATTCGTCAAAACTTGTTCACAAAAAAATTGAAAAAGTCAGATTTTTTCGAATTACCATGTTCAGTTACCTGGATTTTCTGACGAAGGAATGATGTTAGCCGAATGCACGGTGACTGTGAGACATCCTTGTTGTAACTTATAGTACATTTCCACGTCTAAAGTTCCAACCTTTCTGAATTTGCCATACAAATAAGCCTCCTTGTCCACAATTTGGATGTCCTGTGCTCTTTCGAATTGGTCGAACTCGATCTTCACTTGGCCTAGAAATGTTCATTGCCAAATTTAAGGCAAAGTTGTTGTTAATATCTTTGTAGGTCAATGATTTCCGGGGTTGGTTTAGAGAGGGGGTTAGTAAAATAGTATCAAAAGTGGGACTTTTAGGGTGGTCAAGGGATCGAAGTTCCCCTCCTCGGGTATTTCACCCTCAAAATTATTCTTATGATAGAGGAAACTTTCACATGGTTAGGCGTTTTTGGGACTTTAGGTTAATTCGGCAAAGTAAATCGGTCGACCTACAAAAGGAGGACTTATGTTTTGAAAAACCGACCATTCCCTTCCCGTGAGAAACTTTTTATTGTGGTTTACTTTCCGCGGACACCCCCGAACTACCAACCCGCCCTCCTTTCTCAAGGTTTAATCAAAGCAGAGAAAATTTTTCAATAATAAAAGCTTCATAGATTGGAACTAAGTTTGTAAAAAAATGCGTCTTTCTTTTTTCAACCAATTTACCTAAGAAATCGCTGGGGACCAATCCCTTGTAGGCCTTTACTCGAATAAACAGCCATCTCTTTTTAATAGTGTGATCACACACTTCGAATGTGCAGTAACCCCCCTCGCCCGTGACTTCCCCTGACTTCCGGTTGAGCTGCACCTCTCGGTATTTGTTGGCACCTTACGGGGGGCATATTTTCAGTTTCCCAACAACTTTGAAAAATTTTGGTCAAAAAGAAAATGAGGACTGAAATAAATCGGATTATTAGAGTATACTTTAAATATGAAGCATTTTGCAATTCGGAATCACTTGTTTTTTGTCTTCCCTCAGTGAATCTACGATATTTCATTGAAAACTCATTACTAAAAAAAAGTTTCACCGGAAAATCAGTGGTTTTTTTTATAAAGACTGACGCTAATTTAATTCTGGTCAAAAAAAACTCAAATATTTTTTTTTCATGTTTTGTTTTAGCTAAACTTAGAAAGGACGGAGAGTTTTTAATTTCGCGAATTATAGAACTTTTCACAGAACTATAGGAAAACAAGCCCACTAAAAACAAAGCTGATTTGTAAGTATAATTTATAATTTAACGCTGATACAGTGCTAATTCAATACTGCTTTATCCCTGAGATGAAAAAGCGCTAATCAAACTCCTAGCTTTCAATAAAATGACACTGATCAGACTTAAGTTTAGCAATGAGATCGATGGAAAAATCGATGATTTAGTGCCGTTTTTTTAGTTAAATTACAACGTGGTTTACCAACAGCGGTTTGCTGTTTGATTTTTTTAAAATATAAAAGCAAATTGCAAAAAAAACATGAAAAAAAAATGGCGCTAATGTTTTGCACGACTTGAGACAACTTGTTTGTTTTGACAGTTGTTGGTTGAATGACATTCTTTCTATTAAATTCGACAGAATTTAAGGGAGTTTTTGATAGGGAATTTTAGTGAACAGAGTTTTTTGTTTTGATTTTTGATAAATTTTCCAAACTATTTAATTTCAACCATGATAGTTTGCTGAATCTTCACTTATAATAGAACTAAACGGTTGTTTTTTTCCTTTTTCCCAAGCAGACGTTGCTAGTTGATTGCTTAGTAGTCTAGCCTTGAGTTGTAATTCTCACCTAAGGTTGTTAGTTATGTTGACAAGAGTTATATGTACAGCAATAATTAGAAAAACATTATCAATTAATGAGGACCAAGTTTATGACTTTATTGAATCGAACAGCTTGAAGAGTTATACCTATGGTAGTAGATTTAAACTCATAAGTTACACTTATTTCTCATCTTCTTACTACGATGGAGGTTGATATTATTGTTATGAGATCCCAAAGCCTGTAATTGTTCCATCTGCTCGGAAGTTACCTAGGCCTGGATTCACAAGCCGGTAGTGCTGTGTTCTTAAGCCGGTTAATGGGAACAATTACAGTGGGACTATTCTCAGTTTTTTTTCTCAATTTAATTGTTTTTTAGTCAAAAAGGAAAGCAGTCAAAGTTTACTCTTATTTGAAATTTGTTTTTCTAAATAGCAAAAAACGAAATTTTGAATAATTTGAGAAGGGCAAATTTGTTAGATTTTTTCTTGATTAAAGTATCTTGCTAATGTGAAAAAAAAGGATTGACGACTTCAGGCCAGTCGTTTTGCTCGTAAGTACAAACTGGCGCCTGATTTCATCCTTCAAAGTACTCGGGCTTCACCTGCTTGGCTATCTTCTTTCATCGTAGAGGAACACACAATAAATTTTCATTTGATTTTTCAAGCAAAATATTCTTTATTCAAACATCCCTTTTGATTAAAACCACAACTTTTAGTTTAGCGAGGAGCTAAAGGAACCTGTCAGTAACCATCTTTGTAACAATGAAATGAGCTTGAGAAAAATATTCGGAAAAAATGTATTCAAAAAGCAGTAGTTTTTCCAAACAAAAATTTTAATTCCAAATTGTAGTAAATCAGTCCGTAAAAAGCCTTAGTTCACACTTTTTGTTATATAGAATTGATCCAGAATTTTGCAAACAAACAAGTCAATTGCCTGTTTTCTTGCAAGTATTTGTATTGTAACAATTCACCCATTTTTAACCAATTTTTTTACGTGGAAGCAGAAAAAGTTTGACCCCAGATTAAACCGAAGCACTGTGATCAGTCGAAAGATACATTGGAGGTGGTGAAATTATGTCTGAAGTGATTTTTCCCCTTAATTCGTCAAAAGTTTTAGGCGGTCTGGTGTCCATTGAAAAATTGTATCTTTTCATATATAATGGAAAGTTTCAAATCTACAGGAAAATTTTGTTATTCTTGCTTGTTGTGAATCCTACATTACGTATAACTCTCATTTATCTTTTTTAGTTTTTGGAAAAATTAATGCTTGGAAATTTTCCAGCTTTCCTTAACCATTTTTTTCATTATTTATCCTCAAAACAGTACTTTCCATCAATTTTTCTTGATGTTTTCTGGGATATAGGTTACTACGTTCTTTTTTTTCGGTGAAATGAAAAAATTTTTGTCACTGTTCTGCTAAACAGTTAGCTAGATTATATAATCTATGAAAACCTCGTTTCAAGGTGCTTTTTTCGATCCTTTTACAAAACTTGTTAATTGTTGTGTTTCCTCAGGTAGGGTTACTTAATTATATGTGGAGCATAAATCACATGTGGTAAAGGAATTTCATCCTCGTTTAAGTTTCAGCAAAACTATAAACCCTGCATATTGACATCAATAACAAGAGGGACACTTTTTTTCGGTAACATTTTTATTGGTCAATAAACTCTGAAAAGAACTTCGGTAGGATTTTTTTAACGAGACTCATTTTGGTCGTTGTCTTTTGATTTATTAGCTATCGAAGTCCTGAAGGAAAAATTTGATCAATCACCTTTTATGAAATTTTTTTCAAATTAGCCAAAAAAACTAGATTAATTATGAGGAAACTATTTTTTTTTCCGTTGACTGAAGTAACTTGCTGCAGTGGTAGCAAAATGAAGCGCCAAAAAATTCAGGCCAGTCCTGTAGCTCAGCTGGCGGCTGATCTTATCTATTAAACTACTCAGGCTTCAGCTGCTTCCTTATTCTCCTTTCATCGTACGGATTTTTTAACCAGAATAAACTTGATTTTTCAGATCAATCATCATCCGTTTATTAGTCCCTTTTAGTTAAAACCGCAGCCTTCGGTTATAATTGTTTTAACGGATGGCTTTTTTGGTTGCATAGTAGTCAGGGTGCTGTTTCTGTTTTTATTTCTGCATAATCAAAGCAAAAGAACAATCCTGGGCGAAATTAATAAAATCTTATCTATATCTTAAATTACTGGGTTAAAATTGAACTATTACTAGTCGCTTCTCTTTTAAAATACCGAGCAGGAAAACAAAAGAAATTTATGACTAGTATTCGAAGATTATCTTTTCTCAGAACAAAGATTCACAGTCCTAATGAAATAAAGTGAGTCATTTTTTGATTTAGTGAAAGGATACTTCCTACAGGGACATAGTTTTAGTCACTTAAATTTGAGTACTTTAATCAAACAAAATGATACCATAGCATTTTTTTTCGTGTATCACTCAACTTTATTAAAGCTAATTAAACGGTCATGAATTAGCATACTTTGAACCTAGTACAGTGCTGATTGATCCGACTATTGAAAAAAGCGAGGAATATGTATGCTCGGGATGGTTTTTTATTACAAAACTCAGGTTTCTCGGGGGATCGGTTGCTTGATCTGCATGCGCCCAACCCGGGGTGGACACCACTAAAGTAACAAGCCACGAGTGTGACGACACTGCTCGTTTTATATTTCGTACGCGGAGAAATGTTCCGCGCTTCCAATTGTTCCAAAATGAATTGAGACAACTTAATGGTTAAAAAATTTCTGTACAAGTCTCAAAATGTAAAATTTTATTTTTGATGATAATTAGATTTATCTGGACAAAACGAAAAAACTTTAAAATTTAAAAAACATTTTTTTCTAATTGGGTTGAAATTAAGTGGAAATTGATGAAGACAAAACTTGCGTGGAGTTTCTTGAGAACTCATATGGTGCTATTTGCTTAGATTTTCAGCAGAATTTAAATGGTAGGCCCAAAATTTTGCTGAAAGAACCGATTTTGCCTTTTTTAGTTGATCAAAAGTTAGGCCATAAACACCGAGGAGTTAATAATTGTCAAAATTATACAAAGTGAACATCTTGCAGAGCCAAATAAAATTTAAGAAAGGTATAATCTCCAAAAAAACATTGCGCACGTTTTTTTTGAAAAAATTTTTAAATAAAAACGGGGTTTAATTTTTGATTAAAAAAAGTTCAAAATTATCGGTTTTTTGGGTAAAACTTTGAACCCGCGAAGTTCGCCAACAGTTTTGCACAATTTTAATTCTGCTAAAAACAGCTAATTTTGTCTTTTTAGTTTTCACCTAAACTCAACCCAATTTGCGAAAAAAAATCGTTTTAATTATCCAGTTTAATGCGTCCGGTTAATTTAAATCCGCACTGTAAATTTTACATTTTTGATACAGGAGGGGGACTAGTTCTATGATCCAAAATTTTGTATTATTTTTTTTCTTCGAAAAAGCTACTGGCAATTGGGAAATCTAAAAGTGCCCCGTGCCTTTTGGGTACGGAAACGTTTTGTCCAGCGGACGAAGCAGAAACGCTATCCTTGGCTTCTTTTTGTTCAACAACTCAAACCGGGAAAAATCGAACAAGTGGGTGACGGAAACGTAAAGCTGGTGCTTGGCATTCTCAATGCGTGCTTCGGCTGGCACGACCGAGTTGTTGCCGTAGATAACGTTCAACACCACTTTGCCGGTGTAGTTTTCCGGCAGCACTGAATAACCGTTTAGGAACTCGCGCTTGTGCTGGAACATTGTAAGGGCCACCTGATCACTGCTTTGGAACCTGAAGCAAATAAAACTCTTAAAAAGTTTTTGAAGTTTTTTCTCAAATCTCGTTCGAACCCACTTCGACCCCAAAAGCGAATTCCTTATTAGGTTCCAGACTTGTAATGCCTAATTGTTGAAATAATCTTGCTAGATACAAAAGGGGGATTTAGATCCAGTTTGTTTTTTAATGCTCTGGTTAATTCAAAATTGAGCTGGTTTCACTGGAGTGAATAGATTCTATACGGCTGTTTGGTTTAGTAGAGTTTTTTACGCGCATTTTTTGACAATCATCATCTTTTACTTTGCTTATTTGCGGAAGCAGACCCAGATAGTGACTGCTTCAAAGCGGCTATGTTTTCTAATACAATCATGGGACATAGAAGTGGGAACTTTTTGGTTTCAATAAGCGAATGAATCAATTTTTTCATTCACGTTTTTGTTGTCTTTACTGAAACAATTTTAAGATATAGGGTTAGGTTTTGCGGTTTTTGAACTTTCACTGCATTTTGAACCAAGCATTTTTCTTTACCATTGGTACAAATGAACGGATAAAATGAAATGAAACAAGTTTTTTAAAGTCGTTTTGCCAAATTTGGTTAAATTTGGACTAAAAACTGTCAGGACAAAAACTGTTTTGAACTTTACCGCATTTTCGAAAACTCAAACAAAAACGGTTTGAAAAACGGTTTGAAAAATCGGTTTAACTTCGTTTTATCAAGAGCTTCCCAGTGAACCAAACTGCACCCAAAAGTTAAAACTCCTTGTGTTGTTTGCGAGGGTGTTTCCACAGTAAAAGCACCTCTGAAACAGCTTCTTCGGAACCAGATTTCTCAAGTTTTGATCCGACTAGCTCCATTCAAATATTTTCATCTACGACTTGTCAAAGTTTCGACTCTATATCTTAAATAGTTACAGAGAAAAACACCAAAGCGTGAAGAAAAAAAAACATCGTTAATTTGCTCGTTGAATTCCCCCCCCCCCTTTTTATAGGTATCATGTATTTGTTAATTCAGCAAGTTATCTGTTGAAAAGAAAGTTCTTCGTAGACTGATAAACTAGCAATTATCAACTGAGGTTAAATTGATAAGATTGATAAAAGTGTGCTAGCTTAAAATCATATTTGGGTTAATCGTACAATCTCTCTCTGCTCTCTCACCACTTAGAGACATTTGATTGTTTGGCTGGTTTTCAAATTTATTAGTAGAAGATTAGCATGCATTTGGGCTATAATTAAATCCTTGACCTTATGCGCCCTGCTTTATCCCTGAAATTTACATGAATTTCATTAATGATATCACAAATAGTTAATTCTGAGTTTCAATCGTTTTCCAAATGGAGAATATGGAGAAAACTATGATATCTTGATTTCACTTTAAGTTAGTGCACGCGCTCGTGTAATTTGAATTCTGCAAAAAAAAATTATTAGCAGAAGATGTACCATTGAAGATGGAAAAATTGCCAACAGTTTGACAAAAGAATTAAGTAATGAAATTTTTTGAAAAAAGGATAAAAATAGGAAAATATAGTTTTGTTTTACAAAATTGAACACAGCCAACAGACAGTACGAAAAGGGCCAGTGAACGCAAGTCAACAGAGAAAAATAATGAATGTTTTTTTTTGAAAAAACCTCGACTTTCGAATTTCAAAGAAAAAAGTCGCAATTAAAGCTCTTTGAAATTTTAGAACAAATTATGACAAGCACGTTTTGTTAACATAATTTGATATTATTAACCCAATTTGAAAAATTGAGAAAAATAGATCAATAAGTAAGCTTTTTATTTTGCTGAGAAATCTGAAACTTAAATTATATTTTTGAAACTTGAAATAAAATTTTACACTTTTGCTGTTCGATAGCTGAGTTTGGCTTTCATTTAACAAAAGAAAGGAACTGTTTGATAGTGGAGTCTTCGTCTAAAAAACATTCAGTTATATACTGCCTGTAAACTTTAAGCAATATTTAATAAATATCAAATTTCAGCAAATTCAGTGTTTTTAAAGCTAAATTTTAGAAATCAAAATTCAAACCACAAAAAAAATTAATTTCAGCCAGAACAAATTTTAAGACTTTTCACGAACACAAATCATGGCGACCTATACAATGATTTGAACTACGTTCAGTGACTCTTACTTAGCAGTAATTTTTTTCCAATTAAATACACTAACAATTCGAGTTCTTTGATTCTGATGTTACGATGAAAGGTATCGAAATTAATAAACAAAGCCAATAGAAAGTGTCAAGAAGGTAAGTAAACAGAAAAAGATACGGATTTATTTTTGGAATCTCAAGGAAACTCAAGGAACTTCCGAATTTCAAGGAAATAAATAGATGGCCTTTAAGCTTTTTGAAAATCTGGAACAATTTTAGACCGGCACCATTTTGACAAAATTAACCCAGTTTCAGGAAACTTTTAGTAGGTAAAGTCGTTTTCTGCTCGGAAAATCGATAATTAAATTCTCTTTCGAAACTAGAAGTTGATCAAGTGTTTTTGTGGATTTATACACTTTCGCGGTCCGATAGCGGAGTTTGCCTTCCTTTTAACAAAGGAAATAAATTGAACTAAAAGAAAAACAAAGATAGCCGGTAACTGTGCATGTGGCACAGAAGGTTCCGACCATAGTCCTAAAAAGACAACAGTTTTTTCGAATTATTGCCGTTTTATTTTTCGCCTGATTTTTCGTGGAAAACAAAAAGAAAAAATTAAAACACACCCGAATACAAAGTTCCTCCCCGTTTTCAATGGTCGGAACAACAATAGTCAAACGGAAAAAAAAATAATATTGGGTCTGAACATATTCTTAAGACTCATAGAAAAAAATCATGGCAGCCTTTATAAGTGCCTGAACTATGTTCATCGACTTTCAAACATTTCAACGAACATTATTTTTTTTTGGATTATATCTGTTTTTTTTGCTTTCGTTGGTCTCCAGTTTCAACTCGTCCTTTTCTTAAAGCAATTTTTTTTAGAGAAGGGGTGATAAAGTAAACAGCAATGAGAGAGTTTGGTTTGGCGCAGCATGTGCGAACTTTGGCTTTGCAACAAAAAGGGGCAATAGTACGGGTCTTTTTAACTACCCCCCTTATGGTACCTAGTAACGAATTGCCACCATTATAAAGGAACTTTTCAACGGTTACGCATATTTTGTACGTATTAAGGAGTACCCCCGTCCTCTTGCAAATAGTTTAGTGGGGGATAACTAAAGATATCCGAAATAGATCCAAACCTTATAGCTTTCTGTTCAAGTTTATGCAGCTGTTCTTTCTTCCACTTTATGAAGTTCTTCCTCCGCTCGTATTCTTCGGCCAAATCGACGATCACGTCGGATTCTGTCGAACGAAGGAGGAGCTCCTGGTGGTAAAATCACAATAGGCATCGTCAAAGTATTCCGTATGATATTATTGGCAAAGTTATTTATTTGTAAATTATCTCTCAATCATTTACCTTCCATGAACAAAGTCGGAATTCTCGACTATACCCTATTTTTCTAAAACCATAAAAACACAAATGGAAAAAACTATCGAATCTAATCGGCCGAAACTGTTTGAACAACCTTCGCATACTAAAAATAATTCTCGTTTTTATCGGGTATTTTTTGTTATACGGCCCAAAACTGCTCGATTCATTATTTTAAAAACCGGATTGTAAATGCCCAAATCTGATTGGCTGATTTTTTCAGCTGAAATGAATCTGTATCTTCATAAAAAAAACAAGCTCAATGAGCAATTCGATAAGTTTTAACCGTAGAACAAAAAATAGCATTTTTTCGTGAATTTATTGGAATTTGACGATGCCTACCTTCTCGGCGTAGGCATGTCCCTCGGCGTCAAATGGAACCTCTTTAATCTCGAAAAACGATTCATGTTCTTCTTCGTTCTCATCTTCATTTTTGTTGTCTTCAGATGAAACCTGTCAATGCACTTTGGTTCTCTTTAAAACTTTGGTGCAAAGTCAGAGCTCCCGAAATTTAAGAAAAATCAATCTCAGAAAATGCAAAAAGTCAGTCTGATAAGTCCTAAAAAAACAGAAGCCTATGCATCAAAACTTTTCCATTAGACAACGACCAACTAATCGAGCAATTTTTGGCTCAGAAAGGTCGAACTTTTAACTATCTCTCACAGATGATATTGAACTCTCTCAAAAACTAAAAAACTTTATCTGGGCAGCAAACAAGGACAGCAAAGATTGTGCAAGCGGATAACAACTTATCTCGCTCAAAGGTTTAAAAAAGTCATCATTCAATGATTCTCAGTCCATCTCCGGTTTTTTTGTTTTTACTCTCAAAAGAATTAGCTTACTTCTCGAGAAAATCAAAATACTTAAGATAATAGGCAAATAGCTTCTTGCAAAACTGTTTAAAAAATTGATATACACTAAAAGATTAGACGTTTTTTAAGATGCTAACTCACTTTTCCTTTATGAGGTATCGTCAACTTCACTGTCGGAGGAGCGTGAAATGCAAACTTCTTCCTTATTTTACCATCACTATCAATGCCACGCAGCGCTCCTTCGTCAATTGTCTCGTAGTGGTTTTCATTGGCGTTTGGAACCTTCGACTGTTCGAAATCAGAGGGAATGTCCACTCCACGTTCGACTCCAGTATAAACGAGTGGCATCCGCATCAGCTCCGCATGGATTCGAGACAGGGATTCTTATCAATCATTTAAATCAAAGCATTAAAGACATAAGAACACGGAAAAACAAAATGAGAATAAAAGACCCGACAGATTTTCAAAAAGAAAAGACGAAAACGAAAATATATAACAAAATTGAAAATTAAGGGCTCTTTTGGGAAAGTTAGGACCAGAAATTTATTTAACTTTTGTCACATAACTATAAGAAGCACTGATTGATTACTAAATTTTGATTAAAAACTATGTGCTCTTTAACATATTTTGCTGCCTCTTGGAGATCTTTCAACAAAAAGCACAAAAACCATGAAATAATTTCAATAACTGAATATCGTTTTTAATTTTTTTGTTCACATCTTCAAATTGAGGAGTTTGGGATTATATGCATTTCTTTCTCAAGGTCCGAGAAACTTTTTCGAAATGGTATACAAGTATACAAAACTTTCAAAAGTTTTTTGACGCATCCCCTTTTCCTTCGATAAAATCCTAGACCCACCATTGAATTCAGCAAAATGATTTCGCATTTCACCCCCTGTTATTCAAAAGCCAAACATTTGCATACTTTCAATTTAAAAAAGCATATTTTAAATGATGTTCTTGCTCAAATGCTTTTGTAAAATGACTTCAACATTTTTATTGCTGCAAAAGACTGTAATCGGACTATCAGAGCATTCTGTTCTTATTTCCAATGAGTAATAGATGAAAACATTATTCAAAGTGGGGCTCGAACCTGGGTCTTTGGGGTTCCACCTGGGTGCTGCAAAGATGCTTCTTTTAGGAACTGAAGCTACAGAGCCAGAAGTAACTGACGCCGAGGCTGTCTTAGAGGGATGTTTCAAAGTAGAAGTCTGATTGTCTTCGAGAGGCGCACTCTGCAAATTGTATTCCGTGTCCTCGTAGCATTCGATCAATGTCTCTTCATTTTCATCATCATCATCTTCCTCTGCTGTAAATAAAACAAAGATAAAACAGAGAATTGCAAAAAACTATAACAAAATAGACCCGAGTCGAATAGCATGTTTCGACCGTCTCGACAAAAATTCGGTGTTTCAACCGTCTCGACCAAAATTTGGCGTTTTTCGACCGTCTCGGCCAAAAATCGGTATGCTTTGACCGTCTCGACCAATTTCGTGTAGGTTTCGACTTTCTCGGCCGAAAAAAATGAGCTCGACTCTGCTTGTTTTGACGTCTCGCTCAAACTCCAGTATGTTTCGACTTCCAATTAACATGGATTATCCTAAATTAATGAATGTTATATGTCATGCTTTTAGGGTAAAATCTCCTGACAATTTTTGTACCAGAATGACATGATTAGAGTTTTTTGCGTTTTAAACGCTTGATAGATATATACCATTTTTGAACTGATTTTCCCATTTAGTGGATACGGTCGTTTTCGATTGGATTCGAAAGCAATAAGAAATTGTTGATATTTGAAAGAAATTTTCATTTGTGACTTCGTCACATGGCAGAATGATTGTGCTCGAGATGCTTCGGTCCGTCCTCGAGACATTTTTTGACAGTGCTCGAACAAATTTTCATGTTCGACCGTGCTCGCTTTATCTTTTGATCGTGCTCGAGCAAAATTTGATATATTCCCACTGTGTTCGAGAAAAATTTCGAGTTTGTGCTCGAAGCAAAACACTGCCTCGACTATTTTTTTTTCGGTCGAGGACTGAAATTCAGTCTTGACGTTTTTTTTGGCCCAAACATAAAGAGTGCACCTCAGGCCGGGGAAAATTTACCTTTTTAGAAAAAAAAGACATATGTTTTGTCTGTAAAATTTGCTTGCCAGTTGTTTGGAGTAAGTTTTATAAAAACCGCTCTAAAAGAAGAAAGGTGCATAAGCAGAAAACGTCTATATATAATCGATATCATGTTGATTTCGTCCGTGTTGACCACCCTTCTTCTTTTATATATATTTTTTGCGCGCTTGTTTGTCCCGATACATAAACCGTTCATGAAAACGCATGGCGATTATCGGCGCTGAGTGCCAACGAGCGCAAAGCAAGTCCTTCAACAGCTCACTGAAAGAAAGTTTTCACTATTAGTCCGTAATTATAGCCATAATGTTCTAATGCTTTTGGACTTTTTCTGCTTTTGAAGCAATCTGCTAAAGGCTCCGCTTTTTGTCAATATGGTGAGACTCTTCAATAGGCAGCCAGCTGTTTCAATTATATATACATATATCTTCCCTCTTATATATATATATATATATATATATATATATATGTGTGTGTGTGTGTGTGTGTGTGTGTGTGTGTGTATAAGTAACATACACTTATACACACACACACTTGTGTGCTCGTTGCTTGAGGGTGAAGCAACATTACCCAGCCCAGAAAAATAACCAAAAAAATAGCATGTAGTTCTTAAACAAGGGCACAACAGCGGTTCGCCGTTATGAGCTGTACAGCTCTTGTGTTGGTCCTTTCCCCGTGGATAAATGATCTTAATTTACTTAAAAGCAAAAGTTTAATATCTTTAAAATTTTGCCAAAATTTAGTAAATTGCTCCTATCATTACACTGATCTTATTCAGGTCGTTTTCATGACATTGTACATGCAAAACCGTTGAACCTTTTGGTGTCTGTAGCATTGAGTAACCAGCGGTTTTGTCACTTGTGTTCGGTTACGAACAAAATTCAAAAATTTTGGGAAAATTTCTAAGAAAATCATTTGTTTGTTTTATGGAAAAGCAGTAATCATACTACACATTCTATATATGAAAAATCACTAATCTAGACCTTCCATTTAATTTTTTTGTATTTTTTGAATTGCTTGAAAAATGTATGTTTAGTATTTTTCTAGATCTGAAAGTTGTATGATAAGCAATTTTGGTCAGCCCATCTATATAAATAACGTTGAAAAGCAGGAGAATTAAATTTGGAGATCAAATTTTTGATATTTCACGACTCTGGGGCTACTTTTATGTTTTTAATTAAACCAATAGGGCTCTACGTCAAAAAAACACACCTGGCCCCATAGTTTTTCATTAGTTTTCAGTTTTTCCAGTGTTTTCAGTTTTTTCCAGTTATTTTACATGGTAAGAACAAAAAAATGTCCGATTCAAATTTAACAAGCAAAACTGGGTATTTTGTGATTAGTAAGCGGATTCCGCAACAAGGACGCTCTCTTTTCTTTTTCTTTGACCAATCCGATTAAACTTTAACATGTTTAAAGAATTGCCTCTGAGTTCCAAAAACCTACACATAATAAAGTGTGTGCCTATCCAGTGCCATGTTTGGCCTCGTAACGTGGTTCAACTTGAAAACAAACCTTGATCAAAGGAGTTTTTGTCAACCACAGTTGCATCAGGAATCTGAAACAGACGCATGAATGAATTTTTTTGATAAATTAGGTTGTTTTGTTTTAGAGAAAATTAAAAATTTTGTGATCCAAAGACCAATTTTGCGGTGTCCCACCATGGTTAACGAAAAAAAAAAGATTTTAAAAAATACTTTTAAGTCAACTTTTGTTGAATGCAGTATAACTAGTGAAAAATGTGGTAAACGAACTATGCTATTTTTACCTAAATCGATTGGTTGCATATCGCAAATCATTTAAATATAGCCATTCAATATAGACCGCTTGAGCAATCAACCTACCGATTTTGAGTCGGAGTTCTTAACGGCTTCTTATTTGATCAAATTAAATCTTGCTTTACCTTGTCTAGTTCCCACGTTTCTTTTCCTGCAAATTTTCTGGATCTGATCAGCTGAGATCCATTCCCCGAAGGTATTTCTGTGAGACAAAATTCGCTGTCCTTTTTCAAGTTGCTCAAACTGTTTGTTTGTCTCAACTCGTTCAATTGTTGTTGGCGCGAGTTGTTTTTATTTTGGCGATGTTCGAAAGATCTGGTCCTATTTTCGCTATGGCTCCAATTGACCTCGTCAAAATAGACATTATAGCTGAAAGATAACAAGGGTCAAAATGTGGTATTGTTGAACAGTCTTTTCTGATTTGCAGCTCAAAACTAAGTAAACTCTAAATAGTTCGAACCAACAGAGACGCATTCCCGGATAGCCAAAAAATTAAAATGCAACATAACAACCAAAACAAAATATGACTAAAACAAGAAAACAAAATATGATTAAACGGCAGCAATTTCGTCATAAAATGAGGAATAATTTTAATTGAATGACGATCGAAACATCTTATTTGTTTTGAAACTAAGCTAACAAAAAGTCCAATAAACAAACAACTTTTTTTGAACAAAAGCTATGCTTTCATGGATTTAGACATCAGTAAAGGTGCGACTTCTTTAATATGCATTATTTTATCGGCTATCCCTAACATAAGTTTTTCAGCTATCCGAAGGCAACTTTTTTCAACTATCCAAAAAAAATTTTTTCACCTGCCAAGGAACAAAAATTTGTTTTGGCTGTCCAAAAAATAACCGCATAACAGCAGTAAGAGATAAGTGTCTTGTGAGACCTCGATTTTTTTACCTATTTTTGATCCAGATATTACTGAAACAGATCGGATCATATAGCATTATGACCCAATTTTCAAAATATCAAAAAATTTGAGTTATGACTTTCCGGGGTTGACCACAAATGCTATCCATACAATTTTCATACATGAAAAAATGCTAGTCATACATTTTTCATACAATTCCATAAGTAAAGAAACTTGAATGAAAGGTCTATGATAAGTGATTTTTCATATATGGAAAGTGTATGACTAGCATTTTTTCATAAATCAAAAACAATTATGGTCTCGCATTAAATATGCTTTTGAAACGGCCAAATCTGTCTTTCACAATTAACTGAAAATTAAGTAGTTGTTTCTAACTGATTGGATAATTCTAGCCAATCAAATTCAAGCAATTCAATTAGCCACTTCAATCAACAAGTGCAGCAGATAAAAATTCTAGCCGAAATTATCCAGGCAAAAACTTAATAAAATTGCTTCAACGAAACAAAAGTTCTATTTATTTAGTCATTTCGGCCGATAACTTTTATCTGCTTGAAATTGAAGTTGACATAACGAGCCATCATGTTTGAATTTGGTTGGCTATTGAGCCAATCAGACGGAAACTAATTTATTTTCAATTAAAGATGCGTTCAGATCTGATTGGCTAGGATAAATTTTTTTTATAAATGCGAGTATAAATTAGCAGATCATGGCTTGAGCTCAATTAAATTATCCAGCGCAACTAGCAACTAGCGTGTATTGTTTTAAGCTTGACCAATAGAGACTGTTTTGGTAATGCCCCCTCTTCCCTAAGAATGCAACGGAAAAAGAACAGTTTTCTTACGAACATTGATTTTTCTGGAATAATGCGGGGTTGATCTCAGAGTGTTGAATCAACTCGAAAAATTGCAAAACAAATGAATTTTAAATGACAACAATAACCGCATTTGGTTAGATACATATGAAATTTGAGTGAATAAAATTTACAACAAAAAATCAAAGGACCCGTTAGGAGCTATTTTTGGCTAAATCAATCAATTTTTGTCAGTTTCTGTAATATCGATTGAGTATTTTTGGTTGTAATATCGATTGAGTTAAGCAAATCAGTTTTTTTTTCTGTCAGTTTCTGTTTTATTTTTTTTGAAACATCTGAAAATTGATCAAAGTTTAAACTCAGTAGGGCAGATGGTATATTTTCATGCAGAAAAGTTGCGACTATCAGGTTTCTATAGTGAAGATTGTTTTGCATTTTATTGCTCCGACGTTCGAAGAAAGTGACAGAAAACCTGTGCTCGGGTTGGTTTTTTATCCAGGACATTTTCTTATTTTTAACAGGCATTTTTTTCTATACCGTTGTCGTGCAAAATCTTATCTTCTACTTTTTTTGTTTAAGCAAAATCTAAGCAAAGTTATCTTGCACTGATTGCCAGATGCGTTTTTTTTGGCTGTGACAAGCTTTTTGGTCGCAGTTTTCTGAAAATAACAAATTATTTCGCAATGAACAGAAGATTTCGTCACGAGGAGTATGAACGGTACAAAAATTCAAAAATTTGGTGATTTTGGCTCTTTCCTAGTATACAGCTCAACACTGATGTTGTTCATATTTTGAAGTTTGGATCGTAATGCTCAATTCTGATTGGTTGAAATTGTTATAGCTTATGAAAACTTGTTTTTTTTCGTAAAAATAGAAAACCTTAAAAATAATTTGATAGCTTCGGGTGTTCGCATCCGGTTTTAAGTTTTAATAATCGATTATATTACGATTTTAGCACGAGTCTTATTAAAATTGAAAAACAATCGATTTTAATCAACTAATAATCGATTATAATCTTTCATTTCAGACTCAAATTATAATTATTTATAATTAATTATAATCCCTTATAATCCATTATAATCGATTGTTTATTCGTCTATTTTTCGATACAATTATAAGCAATTATACTTGATTATAGTCTATTATTTTTATTCAAATTTCTAATTCATTTTTTTTTGCGCAAAAATCCATTATAATTGATTAAAATTGATTGTAATTATTTTTGTTTGTCCATTTTGTCTTCAAAGTTGCATCTAATTTGCTAATATTTTATGCTTTTCGTAGACGTGGGTTCCTATGAAAAATGCGAAAAATGTTTTTAAAGTTTTCCAATCAATTCTAGTTTTTAGGGTTTTTTTTATTTCTTGCCCATTAGAATTGTTTTGTGATTTTTATTTTAAGCTTTTTTAACCACCAAAACATCAGCAAATGATTTAGGTTCATGATTGACTCGGAAGATTTATTTTTTATGTACCGCGGGAATCTTTCCACTATTATGAAAGGATTTCGATGAAACTTTTGTTTCGTGGTAAAACTTTGTGTTCAGAAGAGCCAAAGTGTTCAAGAGAATACTTTGGAAAATTTGGAAACTAATTTATTTTCAATTAAAGATGCGTTCAGATCTGATTGGCCAGGATATTTTTTTTTATGAATGCTAGTATAAATTAGCAGATCATGGCTAGAGCTCACTTAAATTATCCAGCGCAACTAGCAACTAGCGTGTATTATCTTGACCAATAGAGACTGTTTTGGGAATGCCCCCTCTTTCCTAAGGATGCAACGGAAAAAGAACAGTTTTCTTACGAACATTGATTTTTCTGGAAATTTTTTCAATTTTTAATGGCAAACGTTTATACCTCCTTGGGTCTTTTGGATCCGTCTTCCCGGTCCTCTGATACACGGTCGTGGAACTTGTTTTGTGCTTTTTCAGCCATGTTGGGGCCTTGGGTGGGCTTAGTTCCTTGGGGTCAACAACTTCCGGAGCCTTGGGATCCGCTGCCACGTCATCATCCAAAATGATTGGAGCTTTGAGGGGCGTACACTAAGTCACTTCTCTTCTCCCAATCTAGGGTAAGTTCAACTTCCGGGAGGTTTCCCGCCTTGTCTAAACAAGATAACTTTTGATAAACAACATTGTTCCAATTTAAGTTTTTCAATGACGGCTTTTTCGTTAAATTTCGCAGTGCCGTATTTGCTTCTCGACCATGGTATGCTTCGAACGACGTTAATTTAGTTTTAGAATGTGGCACGAAACGTAATGCACTAAGCGCACGGGATATCATTGCTCCAAACTTGTAGTTTTTATTTTCCTGAAGATAAGTCAACACGTAATTTTTTATCGACCCAATAGTCCCTTCAACCATTCCTGTTGCGCGATGGTCCCTAACTGGAGATTTAATAAGTTCGATACCTTCGTAGTTACAGAAATTTTGAATTTCATTAGAGAAAAACCCCGTGGCTTGATCCATGTGCAATTTCCTTGAGTGTCCATGAGTATTTATGTACTTCCCTAGGAACTTCAATACATTTTTTGATTTGTTGCTTGAACAAACATACGCCGACGGCCAATGCGAGAAAGTATCTACTGCTACAAGTACATACTTTTTCCGACCCTTTACATAATTTACTGGACCCCAGAAACCTAATTGGACCAAATCATTTGGTTCCTTAGGAACATACGTTTCCCCCATGTCACTTTTCGGAATGTCCGGTTTAAGGTTTTTACCTGCTTCTAAGCAACTTTTGCAGTATTTTGCTGTGGCCGCGATATTTCGATGCATAAGGGGAATCCACACGTCCTTTGCTACCGCGAACATCTTGTCCCGCCCATGATGGTTGTAATGTAGGCGATTCAGAATTGCTGACGATAGGTCCTTCGGTATTGCTAACCGGCCTTCCATCCACAGGCAATTCTCACGTACTGCAAAATCGTTGTAATGCTGGGCGTAATATTGTCCTAATCTTGTAATAATCTCCTTTGCTCGTGGGTTTTTGTCTCTGATGTTGTCTCGGATGGTCTTCATAATTGGGTCTTTTTCAATGTTTGCTTCAATCAATTTTAAATTCAAAACTTCCGGTGTTTAATTTTCTTCACTATTTTACTATCCGATGGCACTATAGAATAGATCCATTTTTCATTTTGTACAAGTGGGTACGATAAACCGGGGAACTGATGTGGAAAAGATATAATTGTATTTAGTTTTTTAGAATTAGTTTGTTTGATGTCAAGTTTTTCGGGTGGTATCATTTCAATATCGGAATCCGAACTAACGCTAGGAGGTTGATTTAGGCGGTTCAGTACAACATTTAGATTAACATTTCCCAAATTTGTTGATGTGTTGACTATTGCCGAAGTTGGAGGATCATTTTTCTCTGGCGAATTACTCATTTTTGTATATTTTGGGTTACTCAAGTTATTTCGAATTAGGGTTTTGCTACTGTGTTTTTTCAAAGTAAATGGCTTTTCACTATAATCTTTACTAGTGTAATTCTTCAAAGTAAGTGGCTCTTCACTGTAATCTTGTAAGACGGATGGTTTGCAACTGTAAATTTTCAACGCAGAAGGCTTGCAATTGTAGTTAGTTGAAATGGAAGGGTTTCGAGAGTATTGAATCAATTTTATATGTTTGCAACTGTAATTTAAGCAATGAGAACAAAGTCTGAATCTCGTTCTTCGGT